ACTGGAAGCTGCCTGGCAAACCCGGGGCGAGAGCACCCTCTGGGGACCGGCAGAAATGTAACAGTGAGACTCCATTTCTCAAATCCCTTCTTTTCACATGGACTTTGCACTTTTGAGTGTTTCATGATGGTCGTGGGTGCCTGCTTGCCTGCCCAGAAAGAGGAGCCTGATGGAGAGGGCTGGAAGCCACAGAGTGTTTCTGTTACTACAGGACAAGTTGAGCCTCCCTGGAGAGAGCAGGAGAGACCTGAGGACACACACGGCCCTGGAGCTTGTAGGGAAAGTGAGATATCACTTCAGTGACTCACAGAGTGGTTTGGGTTGGAAGGGACATTAAAGATCCTCTCCTTCCACCCCCTGCCATGGGCTGGGACACCTTCCAATATCCCAAGTTGCTCCAAGCCCCGTCCAACCTGGCCTTGGATACTTCCAGGGATCCAGGGGCAGCCACAGCTTCTCTGCCCAACCTGTGCCAGGGCCTCACCACCCTCACAGGGAAGAATTCCTTCCCAATCTCCCATCTAACCCTGCCCTCTGGCAGTGGGAAGCCATTCCCCTTTGTCCTGTCCCTCCATCCCTTGTTCCAAGTCCCTCTCCAGCTCTCCTGGAGCCCCTTTAGGCACTGGAAGGGGTCTAAGGTTTCCCCAGAGCCTTCTCCAGGTGAACCCCTCCAGCTCTCCCAGCCTGGCTCCAGAGCAGAGGGCCTCCACTGCTCAGGACATCTCCATGGCCCCCTCTGGACTTGCTTCAGCAGCTCCACATCTTTCCTGTACTGAGGACCCCAGAGCTGGAGGCAGCTCTGCAGGTGAGGTCTCACAAGGGCAGAGGGGGACAGCCACCCCCACTTCACCAAAGTCACACTGGTTAAAGATAACAAGGGGACATTGCACAAAAAATGTTTTTTTGCATCTCACTAAGGAGAGTCGCCACGAGGATGGAATATCCAATGGAATCATCCTTCCTGCCGTGGATGGGAAATGTTGTGCCAGGAGCCCAGCACAGGTGGGTGCTGCTGCCTGGGGTGCATGGGGCGCCCAACCACTGGTCCTGGCATGAGGGGGCATTAGCAGAGGGGGTCCCTTTAATCACACATCTCCACATCTATCTCAAGGCAAGAGAGTTACCTCAAAAAAAAACCCCAAAAGATTCCTAAATGCAACAAGAAATTGCCAAGTTTGAGAGCTGAGGAACATTTTATTTAGGTTATTATTTCCTACACTGGGTTTGGTCTCCATTCCGAGCTGGCAGCTGCCTACTCCTGCCTGTCACACACCTCATGAATCACTGCAGAGGGGCCTGAGCAGGAGGTGGTAGGAGGCAGGAAGAAATCCCACGTTGCAAGGCAGACATGCAAACCCAGTAAAACCACGGTGTAAAAAATCCCCCACAAGCACAACAAGGTAAGAAAGGATTTGTTTGCGCTGATTTTTATTTGCTAGCTCGTGTCTCCGTACTGATGAGGAGACAGCTCTCATCTCCCTGAGCCAAAGGCAGTCCAGAACTCACATGCCCCTGGAGGCATCTTTAGCACATCAGTGCCACAGAGGCTGAAAGCTGGAATGGCTGGCATCTGCTGGAGGGTTCTGCCCTCAAAGATGAGAAAGTATCATAGAATCATTAGGGTTGGAAAAGCCCTCTAAGATCATCAGGTCCAACCATTCCCACCACTAACCCATGTCCCCAAGTGCCACGTTCACATATCTGTTAAACCCCTCCAGGGATGGTGACTCCACCACTGCCCTGGGCAGCTGTGCCAGTGCTTAACCACTCTTTCAGTGAAGAAATTTTTCCTAACATGCAACCTGAACCTCCCCTTGATCCTTTCAGGAAAAATGTAAAGCCATGATTGTTGTGGGAATTGCTGCTTTCCAGGAGGGTTGGTGGCCTAAGCAATGGATCCGTTGTGTCCAGGCTTGACCCTGGCAGAGCCAGCAGGTCCTGCTGGAAGGCTTCTGCCTGACCTGAGCTGTAATGCTGAGCTCTGACATAAACTCATGCAAATCCTGTTCTGTTCCCTCACCTGCTGACTCTTTGTGCCAGAGCTCCCTGAGCCCTTCCTGTGCTCCCTGGCTTTGCTCTTCCCTGCTAGTTCAGACCTGAGTCCCTCATTCTCAAACAAGACCTCTCACACATGGTCCTAAAATCCCTAAAGACATAAAAGACCTCACAAATACCCCCTTTCCTGGGACCTGTAGGGCACACATGACCTGTGCTAAGCCTGCAGACTTTCTTTGCTAAAGCTGACTATGTTAAGCCTCAGTCTCTGTTGTTCTGCAGCTCTTGGAAAGAGCAGGGAGCATTTTGGGGGTGTTGTTAGGCACAGGAAGGAGGGGTCATGCAGAGGTTTTTGAGGACAGGTGCTTCCCTTACTCATCTTTGGCCTGGGGGCTCCCAGATCACATCCTCCTGCCAGGGGAACCTTGGGACACCAATGGACTCATCCTGCTGCCCCTCTGTGCAGGGGTCACATCCAGAGGGATGGACCACAGGAGCCAGGATGTTCTTCCCACAGATGAATTTTATGGCACTTTGAAATCTTGTTTTCAGATTCAAAGAGGCAAAGGTAGGATGGTGCCTCCCCTCTGTGCTGTCTGCAGCCCCTGTGGCAGCTGGGGACAGGAGCAGGCAGAGACCTTGTGCAAGGTGCTCCTGCTCTGAACTCTGAGACAGAAACACCTCGGGGTTGTCAGCAGGCAGAGCCCCTTCCCTACAGCTGTTTGTGGCCAGAAGACCCCTGGGGTTGGTGTCTCACTTCCCTGGGAGCATCTGAGTAGTTCTCTCTTCCCTGTGGAACATGTTTTATGCTCCCCTGTGAGCCCAAAGGACATTGTGGGACAGCAGGTGTGATATAACCACATCAGCTACCTGCAATATCCTGAATTCCTCCTAAATCCTGTGACTATTGACTGGGACAGCAGTGAAAAGGAACACAGATATGCAAAAGCACTGGACCAGTGTGTAAACGTGCCATTGAGATGGAAATTGCTCCAAAAAGAGGGATGTGATGGTTAGCAAATGTGCAGCAAGGAGCAGAACCCTTTGAGGGACTCCTGGCTGCAGGGAGCAGCAGCTGTGCTGTGCAGTGAGGCAGCTGCTGCCCGTGGCTGTGGGCAAGCTGGGAGTGGGAGCCACTCTGAGGAGGACAGTGGGATCAGGGGTGAGAGACAGGCTGCTCATTGCCTTCCACCTTCCAAACTGGGACTGTATTGCCACTGGTTACAAAGCCAAGAGCACCTTGGTAGCTCTGTGCTGTCACTGTGATGATTTAACACTTGATCTCCCCTGATGGGGAAGCAGAGTCCCTGGTCTGCCACACGGGCTCTGTGTCCATGACAATTCAGCCCAGGGAATGGGTGGGATCATCAAGAGCCACCTCACAGATCACATCACCACTGTGTGTGCTGCAGGTACTGCAAATCCTTGGAGAACACGGGCTGGAGGAGCTGAGAGTGCAGACACAGCCCCCATGGACAGGCTGGAGCAGAGGCAGGTCTGAACACAGCTTTAGAAAGGCAATGTCAGCACCAGATTGGGTGTGACAAGAGCAGCTCAGGAGGGATTTTACTGGAGTTAAATTAAAAATGTTACCCAAGTTCTCTGATTCCACCCCCTTTTCTCCCTTATTCATATCCATGTATAAGAGCTGTGCTGAGCTGTATCTTCCTGGTGTCCTCAACACCTGCACTTCACCATGTTCCCCCTGCACCTGGCCAGGTTTGTGGTGTCACCCCTTGGCACAGCAAGCACAAGGTCACTGCAGGGACACAGGGATGAAACACAAGGACGTTTGAATTCGCCAGCATTAGTGATAAAACCCAGCTCTCCAGACAAATCCTTTGTATTTCAAAGGATTGGATGGCAAAAATAAGATGATGCAAGATGTCCTCCCATCATCCTGGGGCCATCCTCCAAAGAGGCACTTCTAACACCCTTTTACTTTCAAGCCAGTGAGTTTTCATATGCACTCAGGGCGTGTGCAGCCCCACAGTGACACAGGTGCCAGGACTCATCAGCTCAGCAGAACAGCATTTCTTTGCAGAGCTACAACACTGCACTACAGCAGCCTCTTCCCTCTGCCCACAGCTTGGAGATATTTTGAGATCAAAGCTACTCCTGTCATGAAATACCTTCCCAGGTGCTGGGCAGCAAAGTGGTTTGTTCTTTTCCTACCCTGTCCTAACAATTTGGCTACAGCTACAGGCCTGGCAGGGCTCAGCCAGGCTGACTGCAGCAATTACTGCCCTGTCCCACTTCCCACTGCAGGAGCCTGCAGGTCCCCTCCAAGCTGGGCTTTGCCTCAGGAGAGATTCAGCAGTGTGATGGTCCAGCCTCGTGGCCTGCAGTGGCAAGAGCTTATGGGTGGCCTGGGAGAGGCTCTGGCTCCTGGGGTACCTGAAGCAATTCCTCAGCAGGGATATGGACACTGTGCCAGGAGGAGGCACCATGCCCCTCTGCTGGGGTCACCAAGCAGTTTTCCCCAAAAAGGGAAAACTGATGGAACAGCAGCTTGACATTGTCCCCCCTTGGCCAACACTGAGTGCTGCAGGGAAAGCTGTGTGACTGGGCCCTTGGAGGGGCCTCTCAATTCCCCAGTCATGGAAGCACAGTGCACATGGAGGAGCTTCCCTGCCCACTCCCCAGACTCTAAAAAATGCTGCTTTTAGGCCAGAGCAATTTCTTACCACGTAGGGGACAGCAAAGAGAGGGGAGAGGACCCCTTTCCAAAGGGACCCTTGGGTGCCAAGGGAAAGGTGTTCTGGTCAGATGTGAAGGCCACCTCCAGGCTCAGAGGTGCCCTTAGCTCCCTACTTCTTGCCCACATAGCTACAAAGGAGAGGGTCAGTGAAGCAGGGGATGTTTGGGGACATTCACTGGAAACCTGTGGTTTTCCTAACCCTGTGAACTCCTCAGGTGCTGCTCTGCCCACCCCACCAGGATCCTGCCCACCTGGCAGGGACACAATGTTCCACTGGAGGTGATTGACTGGAATCAGTCAGGAAAAACAGCGACAGGAAGTTTATCACAGACTCCTTGGAATATATCATAGCACTGTCAGGCTTCTAATAGGATAAGTACCATAAGCTGTGCTGCACAGAGGAGCAGTAATGGGATATGGCTTTATGCAGGAGATGGTTTGATGTATCTGGGCCACTGCTAACTAAATCCTCCCTGAAGTCCTCTCTCTGCAGCTCTTCCAGCTCCAGGATTAATCAGCTCTCTCCTTTTTATCTGAAAGACAAGAGGCCATTGGTTGCCTGCAGCTCTGAATGCAAAGCCCTGTGGGTGCAAAGCATCAGTGGGGACAGTGGGGTGGCAGCCTTGGCCACCCATCCAGGGCTGTGTCCTGCTCCCAGGTCCTGTGTTATTTCTGGAGGCTCCTGCCGGCAGGATGCCCAGGGAACCAATGCTGAGCCTGGAACTGTGTGGTCCAGCAGGCACTGGGATGAGGGCAATCCCTGATTTTGGATCCTGGCAGCTACTTGGGGTGTAGGGGAGAGGCACATCATGACCCACATGGCCAAAGTCACATTTAGGATCATAACTGACCTTGGGGCACTTGGCTTCTGCTGGTCCTTGAATCACTGGTTGCCACCAGCCTGGAGGAGCAGGATGGGATAACCTGGAGGTCTGGATTGCAGGGGAGGGATGGGGAATCTGGCTGAGGAACATCATTGCTTTGGGTGTAGGAACACAAGAAGAAACAGTTTTCAAGTGCAGATCCCAAGAACAGCAAGATGCTGTGCCCAGGGATCCTGTGTCACCACAGGTCCATCGTGGCAGGGGGTCCATGACCCGGAGAAGGGCTTTGCAAACCAGAGGGTCAAACACCTCTGAGTGTGTTTGGAAGCTGCTGGGAACATCATCAGTGCAGCATCTCCCCAGGTGTCCTCAGGCCAGGAAAGCTGGGGCACGAGCCCCATCTCTGCACTGCCTGGCCATGAGCCAGACCATGGCCAGCCCCACGTGTCACCTCTCCCACCACTCACCCGCTCCTCCAGGTCACTGGCTCCTCAGTCTCGCTCTCACACACTGTAAATCTGCTTTTGTCTCTGCAGAGGGAAGATCTGAGAACATCCCCAGGGATGCGGCTTCATCGCCTCCCTGCATTCAACTCCTTTTCTCAGATAAATCCCCTCAGTTCCACCAGGGTTTAACAGCAGTGGAAGGTTGTTTCAAGTGAGTCCAAAAGCTTCTGTTTCCTCTCTGGACATCTTTCAACTTTAAAACAGCCCTTTTAAGTGTCAGTGCTTCTTAACCAGCCTTCAGCCAGAGCCAGGCATCAAAGGAAGGACTGGCTGGCCAGGAGAGCAGCTGTCTTCTGGCCCATTGTTTGCAAAAGAATCACGAGATAACAAATTAATTCCCCAACTTATGGAAATATTTCATGCTGAAAAGGTTTTTCTACCCTCAGCATCCAGAGGAAGGTCTCGTGTGCGTGTGTTTGTACATGGATTTATCTCCCTGTTCACACTGAGATGGCATCTGGCAGCTGGGATGTAAAGGCACAGGTCATCTTTATTCACAAAGAAACATTTGAAAAGAACCTCTTAGGGTTGCAAACGTTTGAAGAACAACAAAGTGTTTCCTCCTTAATAGGAGAGTGACCAAGAAATAACTGACAGCTTCAGTTCGGCTTTATACAACCGTAAACATTTGCACAGTTTAAAGAGTAAAGATCACAAAGCATCTACTAAGACACAGAATTTCAAGAGGGGAATTTTTAAGACTTGCTTATGTGATTTTAAAGAGAAAAGGGATGAAGAGGCTTCATTCCCCAAAGGAGTTTATGGCTCTGCAACATGACTACAACCACCAATTTTTGGAGTGCTGAGCAGAGCATTGTGACAGCACTTCCCACTACAGAGCTCTGTTTCTTCTCTAAAAATAATCCCATGAAGTTTGCTTTCTTGCTTTGAAGGTCAGACCTTTCCCTAGCTGGTTTCTCACCCCGGGGATATTCACATTTGAGAAGATGCTCTTTTTGGTTGGCTCCCTCTGGGCCCAGCTGTCTCCAGATTTGGAAGCTCTGTTTGCAGTGTATCTGTGACCCGAAGCCCCTCTGCGGGTGCTCTGTGCAGCATCACATCCCTGACACCAGCACTGATGACCGACTTCCAAGGAGAACAATAAAGGCAAGAAGAATTTTGAAGCTGCAGGACAGGCACCTGGAAGCTGAGGCACATCAGCTTGTGCCCAAGGGGGTGGCACTGCCCAACGTGTTTGTCACTTACCCCTCATGAAGAGAGAACTGGGATGGGTTCAACGATGGATTTCCATAATGGGTTGGACATTTTGCTTAGCAAACAGATCCTTTGCCATCATCCCAAGAGTGAAAGTCACTCCAAGTGGCTCCTGCTCTGTAACAGCAGAGCCAAGTTTCCAGTAATGTAGAATTAGATGCCAGATTGTTGCTGGTTCTCTCCAGTGACCTCTGTGAAGGGCTGAGCATCATGGATGGCTCCAAGCACCCCTCCAGGATTGTGCCCCTTGCTCAGCTCTGCTGTTCCTCTTGCCCCTCTGAGAATGTCACCTCCCACAGACCAAAGGCGTGTGGGATGGGAGATGGAGAGAGGGCACAGCCCCTGAGCCAGGCTGGGAAGGGGCTGGAGAGCCCCGGGCAGAACAGGGGTGACTTGGGAATGCTGGTGAAGGCGAGGGAGGATGGGGACCGAGGGGAAGGACAACAACAGCTGAGGGCTGTAAGTGGGGAGCAGGGGGACGATGGTTTCCATCGTGCACTCCCTGCTGGAATGCTTAAGGCACCAGCCATGGCTGGGAAGAGGCAGACAATGGTGAGGCTCCATGATGGTGGGCTCCATCCTCACAAGGACACTTTTACCTGGCTGTGATTAAAGCCTTCACACCTGGAGGAGCTGAAGCTGCATAGAGCTGTGGTGATAACTCCCTGACAGTGACACCGACCCACAGCTGGGGTTCGTGTCATCAATACACACTCAGGAATACCTCCCTGCTGAGCACAGACTGTCCTCACGGCTCACCACCCCTGCTTCGGGATCACCCATGACAGCACAGACCACCAGTCCCCGCAGTGGTAGCCTTCCCCTCACCAGCAGAACCAAACACGCAGCCCAGGACTTCGTCTTCAGGAAACCTCTGGTGCCCTCAGAGGAACTGCACTCCCTGTCCAAAGGCAGGACTGCCATCTCCTGGGCACGGGGAGACTCGGTGTGCGACAGCCTCGGGAAATCATGCCGGAGTAACTCGGAGGCTGAGAAGCCTCTGTGACGGCAGGTACCGCCCCCGAACAGAAACCCAGCCCTCGGGTCCCTCAGCAGCAGGGTCAATGAGCGGCTCTCTGATCGGTGTGTGTTCAGCCTCTGTCAGAACTGTACCCATTCCCCAGCCTGAAAAAACACCTGAGGGACACCAGACCTTCAGCACACAGCCCTGCACCGACACCGGAGGGCTGCTGTGCCCCACAGCCCGATGATTTGCCACGGAGCAGCAGGCACGTGGCTCCACACTGGATGGAGGGGACACAGGCAGCTCACCCTCCCATTCCTCCCTGTGGTCCCGCCTCCCTCGGCTCCCTGCCCTGCCTCCAGCTCCCCTGGATCTGCTCCCTGCCCAAGGATGACCCCAGTGCTCGCTGCCCCTTTCCCCTCATGCTGCCACTCCCCCTCCCGTGTCTCCACAGTGTCTGAGCCCACAGACGGGCCGCGTTCACTCAACGCTGCCTTTCAGCCAAGTCTCCTCCCCAAATTATACTGCTCCCCAGGTCTGTACCTGCCCCCCAAATCCCTCCTCATTACACTCCACTTTTCCCTCTCCTCCCCACCCTGCCCTGCAGCCCAGAGAGGTAGGAATATGCCACAGGGAATTTCATCTCAGGCACTCCAAGTTTTGACAAAATGACATAGAATGAGGCCAAGCTCTAGGGAAAGCACCATGAGAACCTGTTTCACTGGCCTGTGCTTTAAAACACCTCCTACAGCACCCTATAGGAGCAATGGAAATCCAGTAAATGGAACAGGAATAAGCCATTCTTACACTCACCAATGGATTTATGGCATTAAATATCTGTTCTGGCAGTAAAGAGAATCATAGAATCCCAGAATTGTTTGAGGTGAAAGGGACCTCAAAGCTCATCTGGCTCCACCCCCCACCATGGGCAGGGACATCTTCCCCTATCCCAGGTTGCTCCAACCTGGCCTTGGATATTTCCAGGAATGGGGCAGCCACAGCTCCTCTGGGCAACCTGTTCCATTGCAGAATGGCAATAAGACAACACAAGTGAATGCTTATGTTACAATGTCACCATTCCTGCCTGTTAAACCCTTCCCAGTGCTGTGGAAAATGCAGTGGATTTCTGTTACCCGCAAACACTGCTCAGTGCTCTGTTATGTAACTGGTGTGTTCCAGGGATACTCACAGCACAAATCTCTTCCCAAGATTACACAACACCTCAAACCAGTGTGTGTGCCCGGGGAAGTTAAGTGCTTTTATTACTCCACCAGCAGAAATAATGGGATCCTCCTTCTGGTAAAGCAACCTGGTAAACACATGATAATCATCTGGTAATTACATGATAAAAATCTGGCAATTACATTTACAATCTGGAGAATATTGTATGGGATCCAGTTACTCTCCTGTCTGCTAAGGAAAGGAATGACACCGTTAGTTCTGTCGCTCCAGAGCAGAACTGGTCCCAGTTTGTACATCCCCTCCTGCCAAACCCCCCCGGGGCAAACAGCCCCTGGTGCAAGGGGTTAACATGAGTGTCCCTGTGGCTGCCAGGGAGCAGGGTTAGATGGGATATTGGGAAGGAATCCTTCCCTGTGAGGGTGGTGAGGCCCTGGCACAGGTGGCCCAGAGAAGCTGTGGCTGCCCCAGCCCTGGAAGTGTCCAAGGCCAGGTTGGACGGGGCTTGGAGCAACCTGGGATACTGGAAGGTGTCCCTTCCAGGAGGTGGAACTGAATGGGCTTTAAGGTCCTTTCCAATAGAAAGCATGCTGGGATTTTATGATTCTAACGTTTGCCAGGGCTGCTGCTTCTCATCCTGCAGCAGCCACAGCAGGGCTGTACAAGGCAGACCTGGTCCTCAGTGCCACCAACAGCACAGACCCAGGATCGCTGAAATGTACTTGTGCACTCAACACAAACCTGCTTTCCCTCCCCTGGGAAAGGCGTTTGGGGTCACAGCTCCCGCTGCGGCTGCTGCCCCTCCGATCCCTGGGGAACGCTCATGCCACAAAAACTCCACAGGCACAACCCAAAAAGCACAAACCCCCCCACTAATCTCGAATTTGTGTCTTCCCTCCTTTCCCAGGAGCGGCACCCGCGGGGTGCCCGGGCCTCCCGCCCCGCTGCCCACAGAGCCCCGAGGCCGCGGCTCCCTCCTCCTCCTCCTTCCCCGCCCCGGGGCCCGGCCTGCCAGAGCCGCCGCTCCCCTGTCCCGTGCAGCGGCGGGACCCGGCGGGGACATGGAGGGGACACAGAGGGGCCACTCCGAGCCTGGGGCTCCCTGAGGGGGCGGCGGCGGCGGCCGCCTCACAAACCCCCACAGTCCCACAATGCCCCGCGCCGCCCGCGGAGGACAAAGCCCGGCGCGCGGCCCCGCCGCGGTACCCGGATGGGCGCGAGGCTGCGGGGGGGGAGGTGGCCGGGGCGCGCTCTGATTGGCCACTCCGGCGCGGGCGGGGGCCAGGGCGCGCTCCGATTGGCCGTCGCGCCGCGGAGGAGGCGGGCTGATAACGGGGGGTGGAGGGGTGGGCTCCCACAAAATGGAGGCGCCGCCGCTTACATAACGCGACCTCTCACCCCGGCGCGCGGGGCGGGGCGGGGCCGGGCGGCGCGACGGACGGGCGACGCTGCCAATCGGCGTCCGGCGGCGCGGCGGGGCGGCCAATGGGCGGGCGCGGCCGCGACGCGGGGGGCGGGCGCGCGCGGGGCGGGGCGGCAGGGCGCGGGGCGCGCGCGCGGGGCCGGTCCCGCCGCCCGCCGTGAGGGGGAGCGGAATCTCCCGCCATTTTTCAACCATCCCGCCCGGGCACCCCCCCCCCCCTCCCCACACACCCCCCCACCCGGCCGGGCCCCCGCCATGGCGCCGCTGCTCGGCCGCAAGCCCTTCCCGCTGGCCAAGCCGCTGCCGCCGGGGGAGCCCGGCGAGCGGTTCGTCATCCCCCACACGCAGGAGGCCTTCCGCACCCGCGAGTATCCGCACGCACCGGGGGCGCCGGGGAAGGGAGGGGGGGGCCGGCGCGGGTTCCGGGGCGGCGGGGCCGAACAAAGCGGCGGCGGGGCCGGGCGGGAGCGGGGCCGTGAGGGGAGCGCGGCGGGGCCGTTGTTCCCTGGGCAGTCCCGGGGCCGGTTCCCGGCGGGCGGGAGGAGCGGGACTAACGGGGCCCGGGGCCCTCTGAGCGGGCCGTGAGTGCAGATACCGCACTCTTGGACGGGGTGCGGGCATTGGGGGCCCGCGGGCGCGGGGGAGCACTTGCACCGGAGCCTTCCACGGACTTTAGTTTATAGAATCAAACAGCGGCGGGAGCTCTCTCTGTGCCCAGCCCAGGCTTTCGTTCTCAGCGCGGTTATCCCCTCCTGGGTTGTTTTTGCTTGAAAAACGCGTATTTATTATTTTTTTCCCTGCGTGTGGCAGCCCTTGAGCGCAGGAAGTGGCCGCGGGCCAGGCAGGTGACTGTCACAGCGCCCTGTCCGGGTCCCAGCAGGGCTGCAGGGGCAGGAGCTCGGCGCTGTGACCTGCAGGCAGTGCTCCAGGAGGCTGGGCTGGTGTTGGTGTTACGAAGATCAAGATCTGAGGAATTCATGACTGAAGTGAGAGGGATTGCATGAATATAGGAACATAGTTTGGAGGTCTTGGCAGTGCGGGAAGTGAAGGGGCTCCAGAACTTCCACAGCCCCTGTGCTGGAGAGTGTCTTCTTTCTGCGGTGAGTAGAACAGCCAGAGAGAGCCCCTAGGAAGGATTAGATGGCTTTTGAGGAGGAAAATGCATCCCTGAGTGCAGATAGGCATTGCTAGTGCGTTCAGCCCAATAAAACGAGGTTGGGTGGAGCGTTGGGGACTTGCTTTTCAACTGTGTTTCAGATTAAAGCGTTCAGTGTGTGACACCAACCTGCTCGTGGTGTGTGTGCAAACTGAAAGTAGCTCAGTCATCCACCTGACCAGGCAGTTCCTTCTCCTGCCTTTCGAGGAGTGATAAGTGATCAAAAAGGCAAGAGTTTAAGCCTAATTACTTCTTCTGCAAAAGAAGATGTATGTGGCTTTAAGCTTTGTCTGCCTTGTAGGAACAGCACAGGGGAGTTGTGGGGCACCTTCTGAGAACACCAGTCTGTTGGGTGGCTCTTGTGGATCCGTGAGTAGGTGGAGGACATGTTTCTGCAGACACTTGGGTGGTATTAAAATTAAGGAAAAAAGGGATGGTTTCTTATGCTGAGAGGGGAGGGTGTTAGCTGTGGGATCAGAGGGAAAGAAGAAACCAATGCAAGCACTGAGGTTCTGGAGAGATGCTCTTCTCCTGGAGAAAGTACTTCATGGGATGCTGTGGGAGGCAGCCTAGCACGTTCTAGAAAGTTCATCTTGGCAGGCAGACGTCATGAAGCTAAAAAGAGAAACCAAGCAATGTTGGGTTTCTGTCTTGTCTTGTTGACTGTGGATAATGTATGCTAGGCCAAAAGTGGAACAGAAAATTGCAAATGAGCCAGTAAGTTGGAGGGAGATGTTGCCTAAGGAAGACTTGGAGGGTTTTTTTTGGTCACTTCTGTTTATCCTAGATAGTGCAGAGGAGGAATGGCTCTGGAGGATGGGAAGGGCCTGCTGAGGGTGTGCCAGGAGGTACCTGAGTCTTCATCTGGTGTCATTTATGCCAAGACCTGGCAGAATACGTTCTCCTGGACTTTTTCCACCTTGGAAAGCTGTTGATCAGCAGGTTCTTGTACTGCTCAACTACCAGCGAGGTATTTGAAAGGCATTGAAAGTTCCTATGGCTTTGTTTTGTTGGGATTTAGGTTGGGCTGCACAAAAAATGGAGATTGGGGTGCAGAGCATGAGGAGAGACGTCTGCCCCGTGGGCATGTGTTCTGGAAGGGTCTGGCACAGCAGGAGGGGGATAAGCTGGTCAGCAGAGCTCAGGTGTTTATTCGGGTCTGTTTTTCCTTTGTAGCTTTATGTGGCTTCCTTTGACTGCCAAATCCCGGGAAAACCTTTTAAGAGAAACCCTGCTGTGTAGAGCCCTTTGCATCCTGGCAAAGCCTCGGGCTTCTGGTGTCTGCCCAGGAGTGAGCCCTGCTAATCGTGTGGGTGTGGGGACAGGGGTTTCTCTGGGCAGCCAGAGATAGACTTGTCCTTGCAGGAGCTCAGTGGGATCTGCTGTGAGACACCTGAGGTGTCAGGACAGTGCTTTGCACGTGAACAATCCTGTCACCTGTGCAGCTGGTGCTGAGCATTTGCTGCCTCCCAAATACCCAGGTCAGCTCTGCTGTGGGCACGTGGGACTGCTGCAGTGTGCCTTTGGTTTGGGAAACTGCTGCCAGCTGGGGAGAGGTGCTGGGCTCAGGGAGCTCAGCCAGCCCAGGCTGTTCCAGCCAAAGCTTCCCCTCAGCCCTCAGTGTGTGGCTTTGGGAAGGGGTGTTGTTTCCACCCCGGATTAAAGCCCTGCTACCTGTCTGTAGTTAATATTTGTGCGTGGTGCCAGCACAGGGAGGGGTTGGGCTGGGTTTGGCAGGTTAAAGGCTGTCACATCCTCACGGGTGATCCCAAAGAGCCAAACTCTGCCTGGAAGGTGGTAGCCAAGGCGCTGTCGTGTCACACTCTGCAGGTCTAGGAGAACTCTGCCACCCATCCAGGGAGTAGTGTATAAATGTACCCACTTTCCTGGGATTTTTGCCTTCCTGTCTAATACAACTGGAAAGAATTCACATACTGTAAAGCTGTTTTGGAGTTGATACTGATGCTCTCCAAGAAATTACCCAGGAAGAAGTAAACATTTTATCCCCTTAGCAGTTGTCTTGTGCAGTGCTTAGCTTGGTTATTGTGAACATTTTTCTTTTAAAGGGTTTTTAATGAAACTTTGTTTTTACTGTAACTTTGTTGCCTTTCAGCATTAAATGATCTGCAGTGGGGTGCAAACAGATATATCGACTGCTACACA